TTTTTTTTTTTTTTTTTTTTGGCTTCATTATATTGTTTTCTTAGTCATCTCTGTGTAGGATTCCCTGAAGTGGTTTTCTGCAATACTGCTTTGGTGGTCATAGTGTTCTTTGGTTTATTTTTATCTTAAAAGGTCTTTATTTCTCTTTCAATTGAAGAATAACCTTACAGGTTAAAGTAATCTAGGTTGGCAATTATTTTATTTTAGGGCTTGAAAATTTTGGTCAAAGCTCTCATGGCCTTTAAAGTTTCTGTTGAAAAAACCTGCTCTAATTCCAGTGTTTTTGCCCTTATAAGTGATTTTGCATTGTGAGGAGAGAGCACCTACCAGTAATATCAACATCCAAAGAACCAACTATATATCAGCAAATAATGTAGAACTTTTAAAAATTTCTCTCCACTTTCACTAGGAAGGTAAAGGAATAGTAATAATGTAGCATTGGCTAGGTGAAAAATGAAAAGAACAAATTTAGAAAAAGGATAAAAAGATAAAGAAAACAAAAGGGGTGAAGGGGAAAGAGAAGAAAGAAGAGATACGGAGAGAGTATAAATGTAACATGCAGGAGATACAAGGACATGAAAGCCAATTAATGAAATAGTATATACCAAAATTTAGCAAATCCCATGAAAGAATCCTTTGTGTGAAAGAGTATAACATCACATGATAATGCACCACAGATGCAAAATCAGTAACCGGCACTCATAAGCACTTAGAAACATATATAAACCATGTATGAAAAAAAACAATAAATATATAAGGAAATAATAGGTCTCACATTCTTCCATGAAGTTATAATTGTATTCGAGTCAATTCTTGTGTGCTGCCTGAGACAAAGGGATGAAGAGCGAGAGTCTTTTGATTTTTTTTCCCCCACAGTTTTTTCCATCTGTCCAAGCAGATTTCCTTTAGAGCATCCCGGACATGGATCTGTGCCTCTATGGTTGTGGATGGGTACTTGGGTAGGTCCGACATTGGTAGGAATGGATCCCACTTACCAAATTAATCTTTTCTGTTTCTGGGTATAAGGGCCCTAAAATATCCAGGCTTTTCTCTGAATTTGTTGGTCACCCTGTCCTTAGGCAAGTCCAGGGAATGAGCAAAAGCTCTGTAAATTTTCCCGACCATACTTTTGGAGGCATGGCTAGCCAACGTCTGTCTGCACATTGCTGGATTTACTCTGGATGTTTCTGATCAGATTGTCAGAGTTGGGGGCAGTGAGCGTGTAAGATCTGTTTTTCTAGAGGTTCTGTGGTGCCTGGCCTTAGTCTGGTCCCTACACGCAACTCAGACTCTGACTCCCTCCCCCACACTCCATGTTGCTTAATTCATTGCTTCCCAGTTAATTTAAAACTCTGCTGCTTCTTGCTGTCTATCTTCCTCACAGAGATTCTCCCAGCCCAGAGTTCAGACCCTCATGAGCTGGAGACTTGGGGTCTTTATTGAGAGCGTAGTTTTACTGTGTCGTAGTTTTTCTTTTCTCTTTTGGCCCATGCTAACTGTTAAAGTAGGTAACTACTTCCTCCTTGCTGCAGTATTATGGCATGCCCTGGAAGTAGAAATAGTGTAGGAAACTTCTGTGCCTAAGCAGAGAAAATTATTCAAGATTCCATCGCACACCAGGTTTATCATCTGCTTTTTCTACCAGGGCAAGAATAAGGGGACTTTGTATGAAGGCCTTGAAATCTGACCTTATCTGACAGAGGAGGGGGAAAATGGGAATTATTACTCCTGTCTCTGTTTACTTGCATGTAGTCAGATCTCAGATCTGCTCAGCCTGTATCTCTGTCTAGTAGAAAATTCAGTGCTCACAAGAGAATACTGAATTTTTCCTTTGACTGATGCATAGGAGGGAGGACACCTTTCTCTCTGTGAGCTGCAGTTCATTCAGGGCTGGAGTATGTGACTTCAGTTAGTTTACTTATCTTTCTGAATATCAGTATGTTGGGTCTTCTGGTTGCTGGAGCTCTGAAGACACAGTCCAGTAATTTTCTATGGTGCCTATAACTCCTCACATAGTTACATACCTATGGTCTTGGAAGGGGAAACTTGTGAGTGCAGACTGCCTCCAGCCTGCCATCTTTGGAATCACCATGTTTTACTTTTATACACTTCATAACCAGTTGCATTTGTGAAAATCAGGCTAAAAAAAGAAAGATTAAAAAATTCATAATACCATCATGTTTGAATTGCTGTTGTACTTAAAAATGGCCATATTGTTAATAACTGTGCCTTTAAAAATTACAATTATGTCACTAGCTTTATTTACCTTTGAATCAGCCCTTACCATTAACTTACTTTCACTATGCATGTTGATTTTTTTGGAGGGTGAGCAATCAAATTGGCCATATATGCACCCAATATTTTAAGCAACTATCTTTGAATCAGTTTCTATGTATACTTTAGGAATTAATATTTTTATTCTTAGCAAATAAAGTATTATTTTATAAGAAATCTTAAAATGCTAATGTTTAAATATAAATTATTGAATACTTACATCTGGGAGCTTTAGAATTTAGATTATTTTGCTTTTAACTTGTTTATGTTTTTGTATTATTTCTTAATGTTTTAATGATTTACTAGCCAGTAAATTTCTGATATCATATACATTGGTTTTAGCATTTTACCATTAATTCAAGTTACGAAAACAAATGTAATATCCAAAGAATGTATGGTAAAAGTCTTATGAACTCTGATGATTTCTGCTATGTAATAATTCTACTATCTAATAGTTTCTACTGAAGTTATTTCTACTATCATCACTTGGTGTATTTTTCACAGTTGCATTTCGAAAAGAGGTGTCTTTTCTTGCTGAGACTATAGCTCAGTGGCACAGCACCTGCTTGGCAAGAAGGAGGTCCTGAGTTTGATCCCAGGTACCAAACAAACAAAAGAAAAGATGTGTCTTGTCTTAGCAAAACATTCAGTGAAGCTTACTTCACCTTTTCTAAATGAGGGTAATAACAAATACAACTTTTATTTTCCTAATGCATTAACAATGCCTGACTTTAAAAATTACAATTAGCAATTGAAATTATTAACAAAACTAGTTATTATACAATAAGTTTTTCATTATGATATATTTTTAGATAAAGTAGATGTATTAACTTAAAATGTCACACTTTGTAACATTGTTACCATATGACCAATACAACATCAGTCCAATCTGTGCTGGGCTCAGTGACATGAGGACACCGGTCTTGATGTCAGAGTAATGTCAAATTGCTATATAAGTTTCTGAATATTTATTTTTCAATTCCTGTATCTATCTTTTACTGGAAAAATAACAGATGGATTTGTTTTATTTCATAGATCCATTTTGGTCTCAAATTATTGAACATAAAAGAAGCAACCACCATATTCTTCGGTGGGAAAATGGGCCCAAAATTGTGACTATTTGAGATAACAATATTTTTCAGCATTATGAAAAATGAGCTAGCAAGTTATGACAAACATGAATGAAATTGAAATGCATAGTACTGAGAGAAAAGCATTCAGAATTTCTGAGTCCAAATATATGACATTCTGAAAATGTCAAAACTGTGAAAACAGTGAAAAGATCAATGATTGCCAGGAGTTGGGAGGAGTGATGGGTGAATAAGCAGAGCTCAAAACAGACTTTCAGTCAGTAAAACTATGCTGCATGGCATTATAATGGTGGATATGTCTCTATCCAAATACATGGAATATGCAACACCAAGAATAAAGCCCAACAGACTGCGGAATTTGCTCAGAATGATGCATCCAGGAAGGTTCATCAGTTGTAACAAATGAGTCACTCTGATGAGGGAGGTTGATGATGGAGAATATTGTACATGTGTGTGGTCTAGGCCCATATGGAAAGTCTCTGCGTCTTCTGCTCAATATTGCTGCAAACTTTACACTGCTCCAATATATCTTTTAAATTATAAAAGTTGCAGTGAGAAAGGAAAATATGAGTAAATATTTAGCTGAATGAGAAAAAAATGATTATGGAGAGGTTAATATATTAAATTAGTGATTATTTGTATAATTTTATTATTTGAAAGCATGGTGAGGCATAATATTGACTAAGGGGAAATTTCATTATCGTGCAATAATGGCACATACACATGCACAAATACTTGCAAAAAACACACATATACAATCACAGAAGAGTGTAAATCTTACACTGAAGCATGGTGTGATCTGGCATAAGTGTAAGATGTTTAGTTACTTGTTTCTCTGAATTATCAAGTTTTATATATGTTGATAGGTTTAAAAAATGGTTTGTATTAGTTAATCTATGACAAAAATTACCACAAGATGGATGTAAAACAAATATAATAAATATTCCAATCTCAAAACACTGATGAGGTAAATGTATAAATAGCTAAAATTGCCATTTAACAATAGCTCTTCAAGAGAGATAATATCAATAAAGTAACAAAAATTTCATAAGCATAACTCTCAAAAACAAACATAGAAGTCATTACTAAGAAATCTCTTAAGAAATTTTTAAATTGCAAAGATTAGCAAAAGTGCTGTCACTAAAAGAGAATGCCAGGAGGCTTTGTTCAAACATCTGTTTTCACCAGCCTTGGTGTACAGCAATACATTTCTTCCTTGCCCCAAGGGGAGGCCTTAGAAAATGCCCCCAACAGTTGAAGCAGTCATTACACATGTACTGTGTTCTCATCTCTGCCCTAAGGAAGTCAGACAACAACCCAGTACTTTTTTTATTTACATGCTTATTAAAGTCACACAGGTAAAGCATCTCTGAATGTGTTTTCAGAACACATTTTATTTTAGTGCTTTCAAATGTTTAGACGATAATTGTTAGAGGGATGAAAAAAATACAGGAGTTCAGTCTGAGAATAAAAATCTGTTTTGGCATTTTAATGTCTAAAGACTAGAGAACTGCCAAATGTTTGCTAATCAAGAAGCGGTAGAAATTCACAACCAGTCCCCAAAATATAAAACAATTCTATTCACTGTAAAAATATGTTTACTGCATTTACTTACCGGCTGTTTAGCACAAATGTTTTTTGTCCCAAAGTGGGGAAGCTGGCAATCTTTTAATTTCCAAAGTGCTCATAGAGTGCAGCTGTGGATAGACAAGGCATTTGTTAATGGCATATCCAGGTATCATTTGCTTCCCCTTTTGTCAGAAACATTTTTACCTGAAGTCAACACAAGCTCTTTCCTTTCCCTGCTGGCACCTTTTGTAGTTTGTGAGTTCTCAGAGAATGCACAAGTATTGGGATGGACTTGTTTTGTTTTGAACTCATTCAGATGCAGCGTTGACTTTTCTTTTTTTTTGTGGGGGTAACCTTACGTGTTTTGCTCTCTGATGTTCCATAATCTTTTAAAATAGCCCAGAGAACTGCAATTGGGATTCACTGGCATTTAAATATCTGGTACCCAGAGTAAAATTCCAACAATGACAGCAGTTTTAAACTGCTCAAAAAGCACTCCTTGTACTTGAAAGAATTTTATTTTCTTTTTCAAAAGGCAATTTCTTTAGCTGAACCATGGCTTCATTTCCCTTATTGGGTCCCAAATTTTCTCTTTAAGCAACGTTCTTAAGGGAACAATGGGTTAGACTTTGTCGACATATCTCAGCCTCTCAACAATGCATATCGATTAGAAAAAGATCATGTCATTTCATGTATGGGGACAATGACTACAGAATTCAGTAAAATAATTATGTTTGACATAAAAATGAATGAAGTTTTCAGAAGCTTCAACTTCTCTTCCAGAACAGGACTTTCACTTTGTTGAAGAGAGGAAAAAAGAAAAATTGTAAGAGTACATATTCTTTGGCTGTCCCAATAATCCAAAACATAGCATTGTATGCACAATCACTTTACAAGGAAGAAAACAAAAAAGATATTTAAGGCTCCTCCCTGCCCTCCACTGAGGAAACATACTTCTGCTTCTCCTTGGGGCGTCCCAAGCAGCAGGTGCCTGGTTGCTGAGGTGACTGTGTAACCTCCTGCTGAGATAAAAAAATCTAATACCATCATTGTTTATTTTGTGAGCTACTCTTTGGTCAATTATTCAACAAGAGACTTTATTAATTCAGCGAATAACTCATCCACCGTGGATATGTGGATGCCCAATTGACTTGTCATGGACCAGTGAGGACCAGAACTGTGAAGCCATCAGCATGTGAAGCCCTCCCCCACCCAGGCCTCCCTGCCACCAGCAGACCAGTGAGGACTGGAGCTTAGCGGGGGCTTCCAGCTACCCAACACCACCCCCAACCTCTGGCCTCCTGGCTGTGCCTGTACCTCATTTACATTGCAGAGGCATAGCGGGGCTTAAAGGCCATACATAGTCTTGAGCTCCAGAATATAGAGCAGAAGTGAAGAATATTAAGAGGGCTTTCCTTACCCCTTCTAAGTGCCCATCCCAAAGGGTAAAGTTACTATATTGATCAGTTTATTCATTATAAATATATTTTGGGCTAATCCTTGATTTCATTTCACATGGTTGAAGGTGATAGACTAATAACTATCACACATTGCCATTTTCTAAGCAGTGCTTTATTCTATTATTGCTGCTGATTTTGTCACTTGGGCTAGTGTTGTGATTGACCTGATCAGTTATCTTTCCTGCTATAATGAAAGTGAGATTCCTCCAGAATCATTAGAGACTTAAAACCCAAAGATCAGCTATGTCTGAAAGACCACCTCTGAGAAGCAATCATACCTTACATGTTCTAAATACAAGCAACAAAGATACTTACAGTAAGTAATATCAAAGTATCAACCTCGGAATTAAACCAAGGACTATACCAACAATAATAATAGAAATGAAAAGACATTTAAGCAAGACACAGTCTTCCAGCTTACCAAAGGCAAATTCTGGGGGAAATAAGATGGAAAAGTCTGATAATCAACCACCTGGACAACCTGAACTGATAGCACAGGAAGTAACAAAACATATGAATGAGGCTCTAGAAAAATTCACAACAGAAATAATTTCCCAGATAACTACAGAGATAATGAGCAGAATAAAAGACAAGACTAGAGTCTCTAGAACAGAAACAGATAAAAAAAAAATAGATGTGTTCAGGACCATGATGGAAGCCATGAATGCTCAACATAGGAAAGAATTAGAAACCATGAAGTCCCAACATAAGAAAGAAATATAATCCATGAAACATATTCAAACTGATATCCAGGAGATTAAAAACTCTGTTGAAAGTATGCATAGCAGAATGACCCAATCTGAAGACAGAATATCAACTATAGAAGACAGGATGGAGATCAGTGACAATGAAAAGAGAGCTCTCTTAAAAATAGTAAGGGACTATCAGAAATCAATCCATCAGCTCCTAGATGATGCAAAGAAGCATGATATAAGATCGATAGGAGTCCATGAAAAAGCAGGAGAAAGTACAAATGACATAACAAATTGTTCACAGAATTAATGATAGAAAATTTCCCAAATAGAGCAAAAGAACTTGACATACAGATAAGTGAGGCATATGGGACTCCAACTAGCCATAATAATAAAAAAATTCTACACCTACACATATAATTGTCAAGATCCTGGAAACTGAACAGAAAAACAAAATACTACAAGCAGTTAGAGAAAAGAAACAAATCACATGCAAAGGAAAGCCCATCAGAATTACAGCAGACTTTTCAACACAAACCCTCAGGTCAAGGAGAGCCTAGAGTGAGGTGTCTCAAGTTTAAAAGAAAACAACCTCCAACCTAGGCTGATGTATCCTGCAAAACTATCTTTCAAAATTTATGAGGAAATAAGATACTTTCATGACAATGAATACCAGAGAAATTTCATGAATACCAAACCAGCACTCCAACCAATCTTTAAAATTATCCTAGAAAAAGGACAATGAAGGTCACAACTCTATGAGGCCCAACAGAGCAAATCCAATAGGCTAGAAATTAAAAGGAGAGGGAGAAAAATAAAGAGCCAACAACAGGAAAATAACAAGACAATGATAAACCAATTTGTATCAGTTATAATCATCAATGCCAGCAGCCTCAGTTCACCAGTCATAATGGATCATCTTCATCACCTATGCAAGAGCAATCTGATCACTCACTTTTGACTTCCTCCAGAACTTGCAAATCTGATTTTTCATGTGCCATTGTACTGAATTGGGCTACTTATAGCAGAAAAATCTAAAGAAAACTTTAAAAATTCTTCAGGCTGGGGCTTTAGCTCAGTGCTTCTGCCACCTGCCATGCAAGCACAGGGACCTGAGTTTAATCCCCAGTACAAAAAACAAAAAGTTCCTAGAGTAAAGTGGGCATACTATACCCTGTGTGATGCTCAGGTAAACATATGCAAAACCATTAGGCAGAGTACCATGTGGATGAAAATCCCAGTTTGACACTTTTGCTCATATGCACATACCTTGCTCTTCATTGTACAAAGTGCATATAAACACATAGATTGCTTTCTGTATCCCTCAGGGAAAGGTATGGAGTGGTACATCCAGCTACTATTAGGGCAAAGAAAAAAATGTACAATAAAAAAGTAAGGGATAGTAGTGTTATGCTCATAGGGTTTTTAAGGGTTTCCCCTAATGATTCCCAACATTTCCAGGTCAAGAGCTAGATGGAATTTCCTAAGGACATCTTCACACTGAAGCCACATTCCTATCCCATCACTCAGAACTCTCTGCTTTATGTTTGCTGCCTTGTAGGCTTCATTTCTGTAAGGTACCAGGAAAAGTCAGTACACCTTGCAGTCTTTTCTGTAATTGCAGTTTGGTAGCCAGGGTGCTGATTCAGTCCTATGCAGATATTTTCTTACTACGTGTGCTTGTGCCACAATAATTTTCTAGCTCACACTTAGTTATTGGTTTGCCTTCTCCTTTTACTATAGTTTAACATGTTCAGAATGAAAACGCTTCCCTTCCAGTTTCAAATCTTCTATGACCACGAAGCTTTGCAGACTATTCTTTACAAACTCTTTTAAATCCAAAAATATATTAAAAATGGTTGCCTAATAAAAAAAGATATTTAAAAGCTTATGAATGCAAGTGGGTAGAACAAACGATAACAAATCAGGGATATCATGACACTGTCTGGGTTGTCTGTCCACCTAGCAAGGGCAACTAAAGAGAAGCTCAGGGTTTCAAGTTAGAGGATGTTACTCAGACACCCCAGCTTTCATGGTTTCTAACAATTTGTTGCCCTTACACTCACATGTTGCTTTTGCCTCTTTTTTAAAAGACTTAAAAAAAAAAAAAACCACCAATACAACCACTTCAGAAGTCTTGGGTATTTTTACCTGGAGTATCAAATTTATCCAAAAGAGTTCATGTATATGATTAGTAATATTCATCTGAGTAAAATAGGGAGTTCAAAAGGATATTTGATGGAACTGGCATTTTGACTACTTATTTCTAAGGCAACATTAAATCTTACAAAACCCTCTAAGGGAAATAAAATTCCAATTAAAGCCTTAATTAAGTTAAAAAGAACTCTCACAAGAAAGAGCAAAGCCACACTGCTGCCGCTGACTCCAGGCATTAAGATCTATCAAAGAATATATAAGAAATCGAGGTGGGGCTGGAGAATTCAGACACAGGTTTAATTATCTGCTTTGTGTTGAATTTTCCACTCATCATCAATTGGTGCAAAACTAAAGGCTCTAGAACATTCAAGAATGTTAATCGCCAACAATACTCTGCCAGTGTTATTCCCATGGCATTATCATTCTTTAGGATCTCAGTCAGGGGAGGTCACGAGGCTCAGGTCAGAGCAGACGGATTAGGGAGGAAGACGTTTACATGGTCTGAGCTGTAAACACCATGTAGAAAACACATCAACATTCAACAACCCTTTGAACTTCTTACCTCACTTTTCCTTCTAGTTTTTCGTAAAAATAAAATAATTGACAAGACAGACTTTGAAAGATCAATACACATCAAAGAACTTAGTTTGATCGGAACCTAAACGTTACCTCCATAGGGTGTGTTTGTATATGTGAAGAGAGAACCAGGGAGGGGAAAAACACAGAGAGGTGTAGAATGTGCACTATTGTTGTGATGAGAGTGATAAACCGGATGTGCTCCTCATGTAGCCTTGCAACTGACAAATCAAATGAGAAACT